CCCAGCGGCTGGCACAATTCCCGGCGGGTGAGGGCCACGGTTCAGCCGGGGGCCTCGGGGGATGCTCCATCAGCTCCAGCTCAGCTGCTGGCATCCTTACCGGCGAACTGACCGCAGCCTCTTATCCCTGGCCCCGGTAGCTGGACTGGCTGCACAGTGGAAGCAGGGAACCTATAGGTCTCGGGAGAGCTGGAGGATGCTGCTACCTAGGTGCAGCGGGAGCTGGGGAGAGAAAAAAAAAGGGCAGCATCCCCACCTCCAGGATGCCTGCTCCAGCTGGTCCCTCCATGGGTTTTGCAAGCAATGCTCTGTGTAGCGAGGCTCCCCTGGGTTTGCCTGCCTGGCAGGGCACCTGGCAGCAGTCAGCAGCCAGCTTGGTCTTGGCTCTGCTTGGCGTCACGCAGATCCTGGGAAAGGTTCCCCTCCCTGGGAGGCCAGCGGCATGCACAGCTAAAAATCCCACACCTAGCCTTCTAGTGGATTCTGTGGTCCTGGCCAGAGCAGTCACAGGGCCTCCAGATCTCCAACATGCCCCTTTGCGGGGACAAGCCACCCCTCCTCACCGCCACAGGCTGAAATTCCCACTCTGCACATACTGGGCTGGAGCTGCATGCCTGGGAGAAGCCAGCATCAAGACGAGTGCTAGGGATGGAGGAAATCCTGTTGCCCCTATAGAAAGGCAGTGGTTCGTGGTCGGGCATCTCATCCTATTCCAGTGAGCACTAGCTTGTGGCACAGTGCCAAGGGATGTTCTGGATAGCAAATCCAGAAATATATATTTCCACTGAAAATGCTTGTTAAAATATATATGTATATGTGCATATATATGTATATAGAATCATAGAATAGAATCATAGAACATTTTCAGCTGGAAGAGACCTTCAAGATCATTGAGCCCAAACTTTTCCTAGCCCTATCAACACCACTAAACCATGTCCCTCAATGCAACATCCACCCGTCTCTTCAACACCCCCAGGGATGGTGACTCAACCATCTCCCTGGGCAGCCTGTTCCATTGCCTGACAACCCTCACAGTAAGAAATTCTTCCTAATATCCAACTTGAACCTCCCCTGGTGCACCTTCCACTTGTCCAGTCACTCAACACTAGCAGACCAACACCCACCTCGCTATAACCTCTTTTCAGGTAGTTGTAGAGAGCGGTAAGGTCTCACCTCAGTCTTCTCTTCTCCAGGCTAAACAGCCCCAGATTCCTCAGCTACTCCTTGTATGACACATACTCCAAATCCTTTACCAGCTTAGCAGCCCGCCTCTGTACCCTCTCCAGCACCTCAATGTGTGTTTCGTAGTAAGGGGCCCAAAACTGAACACAGGATTCAAGGTAGAGCCTCACTAGTGCTGAGCACAGGGACACCATCTCTTCCCTGCTCCTGCTGACAGCACCATTCCTGACACAGGCCAGGATGCCGTTGGCCTTCTTGGCCACCTGGGCACACTGCTGGCTCATGTTCAGCTGCTGTCCATCAACACCCCCAAGTCACTCTCTGCCTGGCAGCTCTCCAGCCACTCATCCCCCAACCTGTAGGACAGCTGAGGGGGGGCTGTTGTGGCTGAAGGACTGGGCCCAATACTGAGCCCTGGGGGACACCACGTGTGACCGGCCATGAACTGGATTTAACTCCGTTGACCACAACTCTTTGGACTCAGCCTTCTAAACAGCTTTTTACCCAGCAAAGTGTATGTCCATCCATATACATACATGTATGAGACATGGCGTGATCAAAGGGTTTCTGTTCCCTCAGGCTGAGGCTGAAGTGGCTTCTCTGAACCGCCGTATCCAGCTGGTTGAGGAGGAGCTGGACCGAGCCCAGGAGCGCCTGGCCACTGCCCTGCAGAAGCTGGAGGAGGCTGAGAAGGCGGCTGATGAGAGCGAGAGGTGTGATGGGAATGGATGGGGAGGTGGCATCAGATCACCAGTAGTTGCCGGCAGCTCCCTTGGTTTCACAGAGGGGTACCTCTGAGGTGACCTTACAGGGCTTGCAAAGAAGTCCCCCATATACAGGCTTTCTTTAAAATACTGAAATTTCCATGGTACCCATAATATCCTGAAAATTTTTACCTGGTGGTTACAGCCTGATATTTGTATAAACAAATCTGGGGGAGCTTGTTTACTATCCCAGAGCAGCCTCTTGTGCTCAAGGACTGCACATCTGTGCCTAGGAGGGGACATCTGTGGCTGGAAACCAAGGTCAGCTTTTGAGAATGAACCAGCCTCATTCAAAAAAACCCCAACCTGCAAAGTGTGTTGCCCAATCCTTGTGGCATGCAGAAGCTGTTCAGGGGAGGACACTGGGGTTGTATGGGAGTGCCTGGACATGTCATGGCATTCCTCATAGTTAACACAAGATCTTCCCTCCATTGGCAAATACCGGTTTGAGCAACAGCATCTGAGGGAGAGGAGAAGAGTCCCTGCCGTAGGGATTCACAGGGCTTTGGTGACCACTTGCTTGTGAGCATCATTGCTGAATGAGAAAAGGCTTTGCCACAGGGTATTTTCTATAATTTTCTAAGGGTTGGTGGCCTGTCAGGCTGCTTTTGTGGAGGCTGCAGCTGGGTCATCCTGGGCTGCACGCATTTTCCCCAACAAATGATGGGTTCAGGACCTACGTGGTTGAGAGGCACCCTAGCCACATCTCCCTGCTCAGCAGCATAGTCCTGGGACCACCTCTACTGCTCTACCTGCATGCAGTGTACTGCTGTGTAACTCTATTGTGTGGGGTGGCCAGTAAATGCCAGCATCCCCAGGCCATGTTCCATGTCTCTGGGGCTGGAGGATGGGAAGGTTAGGGTGCAGTGGGCATACAGGAGGTGTAGATACCACCTCAACTCACAGTAGTAATGTCTTCTGGCTTGGGTTTTCAGAGGCATGAAGGTCATCGAAAACAGGGCTATGAAAGATGAGGAGAAGATGGAGCTCCAAGAAATGCAGCTGAAGGAGGCGAAGCACATAGCAGAGGAGGCTGACCGCAAATACGAGGAGGTGCGTGCCCCCTTCCCGCAGTCCTGACCTGCCCTGGTGGCACCCAGGACTGCCTACTCTCAGTCCTGTTCTCCCAGCCGGGGCAAGCACAGGGCCAACACATTCCTCTTGCTGCTGTTGACAGGTCGCCCGCAAGCTGGTCGTTCTTGAGGGAGAGCTGGAGCGCTCGGAGGAGAGGGCAGAGGTGGCAGAGAGGTGAGCAGGGCTTCCAGTGGGCAGTGTGCAGGGATCCCACACAGCCATTGCCACAAATCCTTGGCAGCAGTGGGAACAGGGATGTCTGCATGAGGATGGGAATGGGGATGTCCCTTTCTGGAGTGGCAGGGTCTGCCATCGGGGTGGTCCCTGGACCTGCAAGCTGAGGGAGGGGGACGCTGGCCTGACAGCAGCACATCCTTGACCCTGTTCTCTGCTGTCCCTTCCTCCCTGGGGTATGCCTCTTTTCCACCCCAGCCGAGCGAGAACTTTGGAAGAACAACTGCGGACCACAGACCAGAGTCTCAAATCCCTCATTGCCTCAGAGGAAGAGGTACTGGGGCAGGGGCACAGGGCGATGCGCAGCCACTCTGTTGCTGCCTCTTGAACTGTGCAAGCCACCTCTCTCCTCTCTGCACCACTGCCTCCACACCGACCTTGCCTTGCCTCCCTCTCCAGCACGCACAGGATGGGCACGCTCCTCCATCCCTCCAAGCCTGCTTTCCTTCTTGGTGGGGCTGGCAGGAGTTTGGCCGGTGGTGTTGCACGGGGTGTCTGTGCAAGGAAGCGTGAGGAACGGATGAACAGATGCATCCTAGCAGCTCCCGCTTGCAGCGGCTCTGCTCCTCCTCCACCTGCACTGTTTTCTTCTCTCTCAACTTGATTTCTTTCTTTCTTTCTTTCCTCCTTTCCCTTGCCCACTCTTTCTGCTCCCCTCCTTCTCCTGTCCCCCTCACCGACACCATTCCCCTTCCTGGCGGCCCCTGCTTGCGATGTAGTAAATGTGGTGATCTAGAGGAGGAGCTGAAAATTGTCACCAACAACTTGAAGTCCCTGGAAGCCCAGGCTGACAAGGTAGGACCTAGCAGGGCTGCTGGGGCTGGGCAACATGCGTGGTGTTCGGAGGTGCGGGGGAGTCCTGCTGGGATGAAGGACATCTAGAGGTGTCCCATGCTGCTCACGGGTGTCTGTCTCTGTGTCTGCAGTATTCCACCAAGGAGGACAAGTACGAGGAGGAAATCAAGCTTCTGGGAGAAAAACTGAAGGAGGTAAGGGGTGTGAGGCCAGCACTGCATTGGTGCAGGTACAAGTTTGCCATTCTGAGTGGGTTGTGACCCTGTTACCATAGAATCATGGAATGGTTTAGGTTGGAAGGGACCATCAAGATCAGCTGGTTCCAAACCCCCTGCCATGGGTAGGGACAAGCCTGGCCTTGGACACTTCCAGGGAGGGGGCTTCCACAGCTCCTCTGGACAACCTGTTCCCAGGTCTCACCACCCTCACAGTGAAGATTTTCTTCCTTGCATCTGATTTAAATCTTCCCTCTTTCGGTTTGAAACCATTACCCTTCGCCCTATCACTACACTTCCTGATGAAAAGTCCCTCCTCAACTTTCCTGTAGCCCCTTCAGGTACTGGGAGACTGCCGTAAGGTCACTCCAGAGCCTTCTCTTCTCCAGGCTGAACTGCCCCAACTCTCTCAGCCTGTGCTCACAGGGGAGCTGCTCCAGCCCCCTTATCACCTTTGTGTCCTCCTCTGGACCCAATCAAGGAGGTCCATGTCTTTTCTGTGTTGGGGGCCCCAGAGCTGAACCCAGCACTGCAGGTGAGATCTCATTACAGCAGAGAAGAGGGTGAGAATCAGCTTCCTCAACCTGCTGGCTGCACAGCTGTTGATGCAGCCCAGGATGCAATTGGCCTTCCGGGCTGCAAGTGCATATTGCTGCCTCATGTTCAGTTTTTCATCCACCAACATCCCCAAGTCTGTCTCTGCAGGGCTGCTCTCAATCCACTCGTCGCCCAGCCTGTGTCTGTGCTTGGAATTGCCCTGACCCAGGTGCAGGACCTTGCACTTGGCCTTGTTGAACCTCATGAGGTTGGCACAGGCCCACCTCTCCAGCCTGTCCAGGTCCTTCTGGGTGCCACTCCTGCCTTCCAGCGTGTCGACTGCACCTCAGATCTTGGTGTCATTGGCAAACTTTCTGAGTGTGCACTTGATGCTACTGTCCATGTCACCAACAGAGATGTTACACAGCACCGATCCCAGTGCTGACCCCTGAGGAATGCCACTTGTCCTCTCACCATTACCAAAACTGCTGCCCTGCAGCTTGGCAGATGTCTGGGTCTGGGATGGTCCCGTAAGCCTGCACCAGCTTGGGTGTGGGAGTCTATGGGGCCCTTGTCCCTTGCCATTCCCAGGGAAGAGCTTGTGCAGAAGGGTACTGGAGGTGTGGATGGGGCAGATTCGGGGTGCAGCGCAGACTGCTTGTGCCCCACAGCTCAACCTCTCTCCATTGTGCTCCTGCAGGCCGAGAGCCGGGCTGAGTTTGCAGAGAGGTCTGTGGCGAAGCTGGAGAAGACCATTGATGATCTAGAAGGTAAAATGTCTCCAAACAGACCCTTGTCTCTCTTTCTCCGGGAGCACATGCCACAACGTGGTCCTGGTAGGGCTGGACAGTGCTTGGTTCGGGTGAAGGGGTGGTCAAGGGTCCCAGGAGTGGTGCAAGCTGGATGCCAGGGTATCTGGTGTGGGAGACCAGAACTGCTGGGATCTGGGCTCTGTCTTTGGGTGGGGAATAGGGCTGTATCTACACCACCTGTGTCCGCACGTTCCCACTGCCCTCGGCACCTTGCTCACAGCCACTCTCTCTCTCCACTTCCCCCACTGCCGCCACATTGCCTGGCCCCACACTTGCCCTCCCTGACTTTGCAGACGAAGTGTATGCACAGAAGATGAAGTACAAAGCCATCAGCGAGGAGCTCGACAATGCACTTAACGACATCACCTCCCTCTGAGCCTCCCGCAGGACACCAGCACTGCACACCCCCCCACCACC